GGTGGACAACGTGCTTACATCCGCTACGATAAGCTATGTCCCCACACTCTGGCAGCTTTCATATCTGGGATAAGTTCTTTCCGCCTCTGGCGCACAGCTTCAGAGAAGTTCTCATTGAGGAAGATGTTGATTCCTCTCAAGTTTTGGCTCTCCAGAACAGCCATCTTGTCCTTGAACCTTAGGAACTTGACCACTATAGACCTGGGTCTGTCACCTGGGCTGATTACAGGTTTGCCCATTGTAGAAGTGCCCAAAACATTCAAGAGATAAAGCTGCTCAATGTTGACTTCTTCAGCATACTCCACCATACCATGTTTTCATCACTGCAAAGATCAACTGTTGAGATTTAAAAGCTTGTCAAACGATTTTAGAATTTCTTGAAAAAAATGTTTTTCAATAATATGTCATTTTTTAACCTTAAAGGGGGACTGCACTTCTTGATTTGGCCTTGTTTTTAGATTTGGTTAATTAAGAAATGCTAGCGACCATGACTGAATAAAAAAACGTGATTTGGTTTTGGGGTGTGGTTTGATGTGGGTCTCTTGTGTGTGTTCGCAGGTGGGAAAAGTTAGCCAAATGATTTAGCCAATTAGCAACTGTGGCAAAATTGGTTTGACTTTGCCTATATCTGGGGATAGTTAGGGACCGTCAATACATTACGCAATGTAAATGGGACTATTTTCATGTTGCTCATCTTTTAGTCTCATTAAATGCTTTCAATATTTGTATATGAATTTCTCAAATGTATAGTTGGTTTGAGGTTTTTTAAGTCATTGAAATTTGGAGCTATTGACTTTTACAAATATTGTCCCATGTACATGGTGTAATTTACTGATGGTCCCTTACTAGTCCCATTGGGATATCAAATGTCAAACCAAATTGACCGTGGGCATTATGATCGGGTCGAGTACAGCTGAGCTACCGAATTGATGATTACTTGGGTTGCTGCCAGCAGTGGGCATGTGGGAAGGATTAAAATAAACCCAACCCACGGAAAACTATTACGGTACTCTTCATTCCATGACATACCATTTTTTCCCTATCTCGCAAATCTCCGTTTTGGCGAGACTGACTTTATGACCAAAATTATCCTATTTACACTTTGTAGTCAATTTTGACACTAGAATAAATATTTGACTCGTATCGATGCCACATAGGCCATTTTCAAAAGGAGAAGTTGCTTTTTAGGGGCAGTCGCTCTTTAAACGTTAATCTAAAAATAGTTTGGCAACCCTGTTTGTAAGCTTTTTAAATGATATTAAACTCAACTCTTTGTTTTCCAGTGATGAAGACATGGATGTCTCATGGTATGGTGGGATATGCAAAATTGGTTAATTTTGAGCACCTTTATCTCCTGAATGTTTTGTCATTCAGGTCCAAAAAGTCACCACTTCTTCCATGGGAAAACATGCACAGTTGAAGTCGGAAGTTTACATACACTTAGGTTGGAGTCATTAAAACTTGTTTTTCAACCACTCCACACATTTCTTGTTAACAAACTATACTTTTGGCAAGTCGGTTAGGACATCTACTTTGTGCATGACACAAGTAATTTTTCCAACAATTGTTTACAGACAGATTATTTCACTTATAATTCACTGTATCACAATTCCAGTGGGTCAGAAGTTTACATACACTAAGTTGACTGCGCCTTTAAACAGCTTGGGAAATTCCAGAAAATTATGTTATGGCTTTATAAACTTCTGATAGGCTAATTGACATCATTTGAGTCAATTGGAGGTGTACCTGTGGATGTATTTCAAGGCCTACCTTCAAACTCAGTGCCTCTTTGCTTGACATCGTGGGAAAATCAAAAGAAATCAGCGAAGACCTCAGAAAAGAAATTGTAGACCTCCACAAGTCTGGTTCATCCTTGGGAGCAATTTCCAAACGTTCATCTGTACAAACAATAGTACGCAAGTATAAACACCATGGGACCACGCAGCCGTCATACCGCTCAGGAAGGAGACGCGTTCTGTCTCCTAGAGATGAACGTACTTTGGTGCGAAAAGTGCAAATCAATTCCAGAACAACAGCAAAGGACCTTGTGAAGATGCTGGAGGAAACAGGTACAAAAGTATGTATATCCATTGTAAAACAAGTCCTATATTGACATAACCTGAAAGGCCGCTCAGCAAGGAGGAAGCCACTGTTCCAAAACCGCCATAAAAAAAGCCAGACTACGGTTTGCAACTGCACTTAGGGACAAATATCTTACTTTTCGGAGAAATGTCCTCTGGTCTGATGAAACAAAAATAGAACTGTTTGGCCATAATGACCATCGTTATGTTTGGAGGAAAAAGGGGGTGGCTTGCAAGCCGAAGAACACCATCCCAACTGTGAAGCACGGGGGTGGCAGCATCATGCTGTGGAGGTGCTTTGCTGCAGGAGGGACTGGTACACTTCACAAAATAGATGGCGTCATGAGGAAGGGAAATGATGTGGATATATTGAAGCAACATCTCAAGACATAAGTCAGGAAGTTAAAGCTTGGTCGCAAATGGGTCTTCCAAATGGACAATGACCCCAAGCATACTTCCAAAGGTGTGGCAAAATGGCTTACGGACAACAAAGTCAAGGTATTGGGGTGGCCATCACAAAGCCCTGACCTCAATCCTATAGAAAATGTGTGGGCAGAACTGAAAAGCGTGTGCGAGCAAGGAGTCCTACAAACCTGACTCATGTACACCAGCTCTGTCAGGAGGAATGGGCCAAAATTCACCCAACTTATTGTGGGAAGTTTGTGGAAGGCTACCTGAAACATTTGACCCAAGTTAAACAATTTAAAGGCAATGCTACCAAATACTAATTGAGTGTATGTAAACTTCTGACCCACTGGGAATGTGATGAAAGAAATACAAGCTGAAATAAATCATTCTCTCTCCTATTATTCTGACATTTCACATTCTTAAAATAAAGTGCTGATCCTAACTGACCTAAGACAGGGAATTTTTACTAGGATTAAATGTCAGGAATAGTGAAACTGAGTTTTAAATGTATTTGGTATTCTACAATGCTGTCAAAAAGTCATTTGAATTTCAAATGGATTTACCCTTTATTAAACTTGTTGTAGTTTATAACACAACTTGCCATTGCAGTTGAAAGAAAATGCGAGGTGTAGGCATTCCTATGTATGGAATCCCAGATACTGTGCCAGAGGTGCAAACTTGGTACTTTGAACTTGAGAGCAAAGGTCGTCTAAGATCTAGATGAGAGAGCTGAAGGAAGACAACTTGGAGTTACACCAACAGCCCTTTAATTAGGAGTGGCCTAACTGTATCCATTTCCCTGTGTGTGGAACTCCCTTGCCTTGCTCAGTAATCGGAGTTGATTACTACTGGGTCGTTCTTCGAAGTGAGTCCCTTTTGCATCACTTTGATATTTTAAGTAGAAATTGTGCGCCAATATTGGATTTTAAAAGCCTGTAATATGAACTGAAGTGCCCTTTTGATATACAGGGATTTTCCTGCTATTGAACTACTTGGGTGTGCCGCCTAAGCATTCTTTCTGGGTCGCCTAAGTCCAAACAGTATTACAAAAAAATACAAATTTGGGATGGAAAAACACTTTCAGTGTAAAATTAAATGACTAAAACCAGATATAAAGTATGTAGGAAAGATAATGGACCTAATATATTTTAAAATAATATAATCTTTGAGAACTAACAATCACCAAAATAAAAGCTAGACAGTCGGGGAGAATTGAAAATTCCAAAAACAATGAATTTAGCAGTATTGATATTATTATGTTTGAGTAAAACAACACAGCATTAGCCATGGTAAATGCATAAAATTGCAGGAAATTAGCTTTAAAACTGCAACATTTTCTCTCAGCGCCATTGAAAATTTTGTAGAATTGCAGGAAATTGGCTTAAATGCAAAAATGTGTCTACACCGCCAAAGTAAGGGCCTCCAAAATTGTATTTAAAAATCAGCCGCATCGACGGGCCGATAATTTCTGATTTATTATTTATTTATAGGGCTGTCAAATGATTAAAATAATGAATTGAGTTTAATGGATTTTGTGGTCTTTTAGCTAGGTTGGTAGAGCATGGCATTTGTAACGCCAGGGTAGTGGGTTCAATTCCCGGGACCATCCTATAAGTCGCTTTTGGATAAAAGCATCTGCTAAATGGCATTATTATTATTATTATTATTATTAATGGCAATTTAAGCAAAATGTTTGAATTTGCTCAAATTTGGGTCTAAAGAAAGCTTTTTCCATTTTAAAAAGCATTGTATTGAGATACAGGCATACTATGCTTTGATTGTAAGGGACGGAAACACTCAATTATCTACATCAGAATGTTTTAATGCATTTTCACCATAAACAACACAAAAGTCACTAACATACAGCTAGCTATTAATGCTCCCAATGTTTAAGTAGGCCTACTCCCTCTTATCAATGTTCTTGTAGTTATTTATATATTTAAATATATTACATTTACATTTTAGTCATTTAGCAGACGCTCTTATCCAGAGTAGGGTTAAGTGCCTTGCTTAAGGGCACATCGACTGATTTTTCACCTAGTCGGCTCGGGGATTAGAACCAGCAACCTTTCGGTTACTGGCACAACGCTCTTACCCACTGAGCTACATGCCGCCCCTATATATATATATATATATCTTACACACACATTAACACACGCAAGCAGACACACATTCACACACAGCCACAAGTACTGTTAAAGCTTAAGACATTCAAAATGCGTGCAACTATAGGAAAAAATAACTGTCTCTATGGATACAAAGGAACAAAGAGCTTTTAAACTTGTCCAACAATGTTATAAAAACACTGAAACCATATGTACTGTTCAGATAATTTTACACGCATTCACACTCTCCCGCCCTCTCTCTTTCACTGGGCGAGTTTGTTTTGCATGGCCCAGTGCTCCGGGTGGGCGAAGTTTGCACCTTTTTTAGGCCATTCCATTGGTCCTTTTAAATAAAGATGAAATACAATTCTAATAATTTCAGTTTTTCTTTCTCCCCATCCAACAGGACAGCGAACCCGTCATAGTGGTCATCATGGATCTGTATGACCCTCAGACGCTAGGCATCATGGTATTTGGAGGCTTCATGGTCATCTCAGCGCTCGGCATCGTCCTGGTCTCCACCTTCTCCATGAAGGTAGCCTAACTGTTGTTGTTAATATAATAATCTTAATATATACCATTTTAGCAGATGCTTTTATCCAAAGCGACTCAGTCATGCATGCATACTTTTCTTATGGGGTGGCCCCAGCAGGAATCGAACCCACAACGCTGGCATTGCAAGCACCATGCTCTTCCAACTGAGACACACAGTTGTTGTCGTCGTGTTGATCATGTCTTACGTTAACTGTTATATGTTGTCTCATTCTTCTCCATGAAGGAGACCTCGTATGAGGAGGCTCTGGCCCAGCAGCGTAGAGAGCTGGGCAAGATGGCTCCTCCTGGCCAACTGACCAAGAAGGACAAGAAGAAGGACAAGGTAAAACGAGACAAAACACACCGCTACCCAAAATTCCTTTTTGTGGAGTTACTCTAGCTGTGTGTGTGTGATTTTGTAGTGTACATACTGTAGCACATTGTGATTTGTCATATAATGTAAAAGTGTGTTCTAAATCAAATCTATTATTCTAATCATCTAAGGCGTCTGAGAAGAAGAACCGTGGTAAGAAGAAGGAAGACAAGCCCAATGGGAAGCTGCCAGAATCGGAACCAGAGGAGGACCAAGTGGCCGAGCCTGAGCCGGAACCAACCCCAGCCCCAGAAAGAGTCGCTGCTCCTGCTCCTGCCCCTGCCCCTGAACCAACCCCTGCCCCTGCTCCAGCTCCCACCGCTGTAGAGGCCCCACCTGCCCCTGCACCGAAGAAGAAGAAGGAGAAGAAGGTGGCTAAGGTAGAGCCAGCCCAGGCACCCACCACCCTGGCTGCCTCAGCCCCTACCCCCATGGCCCCCTCCAAGCCTGCCCCAGTCCTGGAGGCTGTCACCAAGGAGGTCCCTGTGATGGCAGTGCCCCCAGTGGGCTCCCAGCAGACTGCAGCCAAGGCTCAGGAGGCCAAGGCTCAGGAGGCCAAGGCTCAGGAGGCCAAGGCTCAGGAGGCCAAGGCTCAGGAGGCCAAGGCTCAGCAGGCCAAGGCTCAGCAGACCAAGGCTCAGCAGACCAAGGCTCAGGACCCTTCTAAGAAGAAGGCATCAATGAAGAAAAAGGCTGAGCCTGGTAAGGAAGCTTTGTCTAATTTTGATGTATTTCAATCATTTTACATCATATTTATTATTTCACATAGATAGAGAGCAACACAACTGTTGATAAAATATAGTTAGTTTTTCGGTAGTTTGTCATTTTTTTCCAGAAGTGGGGTTACACGTACAGGTATAACATTCAAAGTCATATTCATATATTCAGTTATCATATTTGCATTTGATATTTTCTTGTACCTGTTGGCTGTCACTCTAAATAAAAAGTACAAATAAGGAACGGAGAAATGCATACAAAGATAAAGACCAGTATCAACTGTTTTTAAATGTTTTGTTTGCAAGGAAAATAACCAAAAAAGGCTTCCCATTTCCACCCAGCCTTATCCTCTCTCCCCAGCCTTATCCTCTCTCCCCAGCCTTATCCTCTCTCCCCACCCGGAAACCTGCTCCCTAGCAGTGCTGCCTGCCAGAAGTAATCTTCTCTGATTCATTCAGAGACTCTAGGGGCTATCATCATTAAGCAAACTAATGGTTGGGGAGCATTGAATATTTACATTAATGCTCTATGAAATGAATTGTCTTTGTCCCAAAAACATTTTACTGCAGGGCACTCCTACCTCATATGTAGGAATGTGCCTACCTGATTTAGGAGACTCAGTAAAGATTTGGAAATTGAGGCCAAGTTCATTTATAAAACGTTTCTTGGGTGTTAGATAAATTCTGTGATCAAAGTTGAAATGAATAAGTTGATGGTCCAGATTACGGGATGCCAAGGTAATATTTTTCTATATTCTGGTCCAGTTAAAGAATTATTCAGTTACATTTAGATCTGTGGGCCATACTTTTTTAATGGCTAGCTCGGAGTATGAGCTTTCCAATAGTTGTTTATATGTTACAGAGATAAGTCCTTTCGGGAGACCAGATAATCTGTTTACAAATTCCATCATTGGACGGGTCGACAGCTGGTTTTCCCATGGAACTCCATAGGCCAGCATAGTTGAACAATGTGTGAGATAAAGAAAAAATAATAATGCTTCTTTCAGATCTTGGAATGTCTTCAAATCATTACTATCCATGATATCGGCAAGGGTACGGATACCGCATTTGGACCATTTTGGCAATGTGAAAGGCCGTCCTCCTGATCGCAAGGAATTATTGATAAATATTGGAGTCTGGGCATGCCATTTAGTGTCCTAGTTGCATAGTTTTTTCCATTTTGCAGCAAATAGAAATAGTTTGAGCAATAATCGGGACAAAGCATAGTTTGTTTAAGAGATGTCAATGAACACACCTTCTTCCAGTTCCATTTCTAACTAGTAAGCTATTTGATTTAGAGAGAAATGTTTCTTAATTTTTTGGAATGGATTGGAAATTGAATATTATTTATTTACTCTAAGTTTAGTGTTTCTTATCTAAGATTATAAACTGGGTAGTTTGGCTCCTGGATGCTGATTGACTGAAAGCTGTGGTATATTTAAGCAATAAGGCCCGAGGGGGTGTGGTATATGGCCAATATATCGAGGCTAAAGGCTGTTCTTACGCACAACTCAATGCGGAGTGCCTGGACACAGCCTTTAGCTGTGGTATATTGGCCATATACCACAAACCCCTGAGGTGCCTTATTGCTATTATAAAATGGTTACCAACGTAATTAGAAGAGTAAAAATACATGTTTTGTCATACCCGTGGTATACGGTCTGATGATGCCACGGCTGTCAGCCAATCAGCATTCAGGGCTCGAACCAACCAGTTTATATCAGACATTATAAACTGTGTGGTTTGAGCCCTGAATGCTGATTGGCTGAAAGCCGTGGTATAGTGGCCATATGCCACACCCCTCGGGCCTTATTGCTTAAATATACTGCGGGTATGATGCAAAACTACTTGTTTACTGTTCTAACTATGTAGGTAACCAGTTTATAGTAGCAATAAGGCACCTCAGGGTTTTGTGATATATGGCCAATATACCACACCTCCTCGGGGCTTATTGCTTAATTATATAATAGGCCGGACTATATAATGTAGCCTATCTGCAGAGAGACGTGTGCTCCTATACTGCAGAGCAAAGCTGAGTTGTTTTCTCCGTGGTGGACTGATTTAGAATGAGGAATTAGTGTGCTCAGCTGAAAAGTTTGTAGTAACACAAGTGTTTGGGTGCCGGGTTCAAATGGCATACACTGGAAGAAAGGAAAAACCCGCACTCACTGAAATATTATTTTAAGTTTTCATGTCTTTTTTTTAGCAGCATAGGTCAGAGCAAACGGACGCGTTTCGGAGGCAGCTGACGAAGGCTGCCGTGGTGGACTCTGATCTTAGTCAGACTAACAGGGTGTGGTCTGGTCGAAAGACTACTAGCGCACACATTATGCAGGACATGTTCAAGGCCTCTGTGTGTGTTGGGTTATGTGTGTGTGCGTGCCACCAAACAGAGTAGGTCTTCAAAGAAAAGCTTCCCTCATTCTGTGTACCAGATACTACAGCTGCTACAAGGCCCTTGGGTCATAACAGGACCACAAGGACAGTAGTTTATCCTAGGGTTGTAAAATTCCAGGAACTTTCAATAAATTCCCTGGTTTTCCCGAAATCCCGGAAGGCCTAATTATATAAGCCTAAGCCCAAATGCTCACATAGTAAATACTATATATTTTTGATTGATCATTTGACTGATTTGTTATATTTGGGAGTCTGGAAATGATAAACTTGTTCTGTCTGTACATGTCATGATGCCATCCTTCCTTATATGGGTCGTGTTGAGTGACTGACAGACAGACCAACACAGGAAGGGAGGTAACTGCTAGCTAGGCTGTTAAAAACATCTCTTTCCGTTTTAATGAATGGAAATGGTAGTCTAGGCAGGAAATACTTTAGCCATAACACAAGCACTACTGTAGCACGCTTACTACTGCGATGACAACCTGTCTGAGGCTGGTGTGTGTGTGTGTGTTATCAATTCTCGGAGTCTGTTGTTGGTTGCAGTGGCGCCCTCCTGCTCAGTGTGCGTGTGCACATGTGCGTGTGTGCACATCACTGGACCTGTTGTGCTCTATGACAAAGCCTCTCAGTAACCCAGACAATAGGGGGTTCTCTGGTGCCACGGGGGCTGTGTCTGCCTGGTACCACTCTGCCCTCTCAGCCAGGGGTTCAGCTGCCCAGTTCTCACCCACTCTGCCCTGAGCCATGATAATTTACTCAGTCTTATGATGACAGACATATTAAGCATATTTGACATATTTAGCCTTCATTTATTGCCTTTTACCCCTCCAACATCCCACCAAGACAACTGAGTTCTGCCAAATATCAGTCAAACCTAATAGAATAGAATGCCCAAGGTTGCCCACAGTGCCCAGTCTGTGGGGGAAGTTCCCTCCCCTGTTACTGACCCGGCCCTAGCCTGGTGGCAGTGTGAGAACCCACAATCTTACGATGGCAGACAAACTGTATCAGACAGTAGGAATATTCCACATGGCCTTTTACCCCGTAACTTCCCAAGTTCTGCCAACATTGTATTCCTGTGCACAGTAACTGCCCTTTTGGTGAGTGCTGTTCTCAGTAGGGAATTATGTTTTATTAATAGCTATGTTTTCCTCTCCTTACCTGTAGCAGCTGACTCTCTGGATGCTTGTAATAATATCTCTCTCTCTCTCTCTCTTTCTCTCGCTCTCTCTGTCTGTCTCACTCTCTCTCTCTCTTTCTCTCTCTCTCTCTTTCTCTCGCTCTGTCTGTCTGTCTGTCTGTCTCTCTGTCTGTCTGTCTCTCTGTCTCTCTGTCTCTGTCTCTGTTTAGCCATAGCAGTGGACTCTGGTCTGGATGCACCCCTGTACCTGCCCTACAGGGCCCTGGTCTCTACCGTTAGCAGTATGGTGTTCAGTGAGGGAGAGGCCCAGCGCCTCATACAGATCCTCTCTGACAAGGCTGGCATCAGACAAGACACCTGGCACATGGTGCGACCCGTGGCGGGGGTTGGGAGATACTGTTGGGGGGGGGGGTGACACATGTCAGTCTGGGGGTGGAGGGGGATGATATGACCCAGAATGGGATGGGAGAAATCACTCTGGGGGGGGGTTTGGGAGGACATCATGCATGACATCATGGTACGACCCGGGATGGGGGATACCATTGTGGGGTTGACACATGTAAGGTTTGAGGTGGAGGGTAGGAAATCCGGCAGGGCATATAGTACAATCTGGTCAGGACTGGATGGGAGATGTCATTCGAGGGGGTTGGAGTGGGGGGGCGGCGTGGTATGGGACGGGAGAAACCACTGGGAGGGGTGGTGACACTGACACACGTCAAGCATGAGGAGGATGGGTCATTGGTCAGACACTCACACACACACTACAGATGTTGATATTGATTGTGACTAACTTCCTGTGTGTGTGCGTGCGCTACTCAGGCTACTCAGAAGGGCGACCCAGTGGCTAACTTCCTGTGTGTGTGCGTGCGCTACTCAGGCTACTCAGAAGGGCGACCCAGTGGCTGTGATGAAGAAACAGTTAGAGGAGAATCAGAAACAGCTGGCAACTCAGCAAGAGGACGCCACCGCAGCCAAGAACAGACTGAGGGAACTCACCAAGGTAACACACACATATATACACACTGAGACACACACACACACACACACACACAGTCTTGCGCAGCTAACCAGTCCCCAAAATCCTATTTTCCCTAACCCGTACTCTTACCCTAACCCCTAACACTAATTCTAACCTTAACCCTAAACCCCCAAGAAATACAGTGGTGGGAAAAAAGTATTTAGTCAGCCACCAATTGTGCAAGTTCTCCCACTTAAAAAGATGAGAGAGGCCTGTAATTTTCATCATAGGTACACGTCAACTATGACAGACAAATTGAGGGAAAAAAATCCAGAAAATCACATTGTAGGATTTTTAATGAATTTATTTGCAAATTATGGTGGAAAATAAGTATTTGGTCACCTACAAACAAGCAAGATTTCTGGCTCTCACAGACCTGTAACTTCTTCTTTAAGAGGCTCCTCTGTCCTCCACTTGTTACCTGTATTAATGGCACCTGTTTGAACTTGTTATCAGTATAAAAGACACCTGTCCACAACCTCAAACAGTCACACTCCAAACTCCACTATGGCCAAGACCAAAGAGCTGTCAAAGGACACCAGAAACAAAATTGTAGACCTGCACCAGGCTGGGAAGACTGAATCTGCAATAGGTAAGCAGCTTGGTTTGAAGAAATCAACTGTGGGAGCAATTATTAGGAAATGGAAGACATACAAGACCACTGATAATCTCCCTCGATCTGGGGCTCCACGCAAGATCTCACCCCGTGGGGTCAAAATGATCACAAGAACGGTGAGCAAAAATCCCAGAACCACACGGGGGGACCTAGTGAATGACCTGCAGAGAGCTGGGACCAAAGTAACAAAGCCTACCATCAGTAACACACTACGCCGCCAGGGACTCAAATCCTGCAGTGCAAGACGTGTCCCCCTGCTTAAGCCAGTACATGTCCAGGCCCGTCTGAAGTTTGCTAGAGTGCATTTGGATGATCCAGAAGAGGATTGGGAGAATGTCATATGGTCAGATGAAACCAAAATAGAACTTTTTGGTAAAAACTCAACTCGTCGTGTTTGGAGGACAAAGAATGCTGAGTTGCATCCAAAGAACACCATACCTACTGTGAAGCATGGGGGTGGAAACATCATGCTTTGGGGCTGTTTTTCTGCAAAGGGACTAGGACGACTGATCCGTGTAAAGGAAAGAATGAATGGGGCCATGTATCGTGAGATTTTGAGTGAAAACCTCCTTCCATCAGCAAGGGCCTTGAAGATGAAACGTGGCTGGGTCTTTCAGCATGACAATGATCCCAAACACACCGCCCGGGCAACGAAGGAGTGGCTTCGTAAGAAGCATTTCAAGGTCCTGGAGTGGCCTAGCCAGTCTCCAGATCTCAACCCCATAGAAAATCTTTGGAGGGAGTTGAAAGTCCGTGTGGCCCAGCGACAGCCCCAAAACATCACTGCTCTAGAGGAGATCTGCATGGAGGAATGGGCCAAAATACCAGCAACAGTGTGTGAAAACCTTGTGAAGACTTACAGAAAACATTTGACCTGTGTCATTGCCAACAAAGGGTATATAACAAAGTATTGAGAAACTTTTGTTATTGACCAAATACTTATTTTCCACCATAATTTGCAAATAAATTCATTAAAAATCCTACAATGTGATTTTCTGGATAGTTTTTTCTCATTTTGTCTGTCATAGTTGACGTGTACCTATGATGAAAATTACAGGCCTCTCTCATCTTTTTAAGTGGGAGAACTTGCACAATTGGTGGCTGACTAAATACTTTTTTTCCCCACTGTAGCATTTGACCTTGTGGGGACCAACAAAATGTCCCCAGTTGGTCAAATTCTTTCTTGGTTAACACGTCCACTAAGACACACACACACACACACACACACACACACACACACACACACACACACACACACACACCACACACACACACTGAGACCCACACACACACCACACCACACTGAGACCCACACACACACAATGAGCAGGAGGGCGCCACTGCAGCCAAGAACAGACTCGGAGAACTCACCAGGGTAAAACACACATTTACATACATTGAGAATGTCTCTGAAAATACGACTTATTTAACCACATAACTAGAACTCCCCCCCCCCCCCCCCCCCCCCCCCCCCAATTGAAAAATTGTTTACCACTGGTGTCTGTATGTAGGAGCCAGGGTTGGGGTAAATTCGAATTGAAGTCAGTCAATTCAGGAAGTGATTTTTCAATTAGAAAATTGTGAATTTCACATGAAATATTTTAATCATTGAATTACTTCCTGAATTGACCCCAGCCTTTCTGACAGTCTGTATCTCTCCTCCTTCTGTAGGAGCTGTCTTCTGAGAAGTCCAAGGTGGCCAGTGTAGAAACCAGGCTGAGTTCCCAGCTCTCGTCCAGGGAGCAGGAGATGATCGCTCTGCAGGCTCGTATGCAGGCCTCCTACCAGGACCACGTAGCCCAGACACAGAAACTCAACGCCAAGGTACTATATGTAGAATAGAATGCAGGTCTGTCTCTGTCTGTCAGCTTCTGTGTCTTTCTCTCATTTGAATTGAGTGTACTTTATTGGATTTAAATTAGTAATGTAAAGATTTCCAAAGCATTCAAAAACTTTAAGTCAAAGTCCCTCCCTACTCTCAGGTCGTCAGTCTTCAGGAGCAGTTGGAGTCAGGTCCCACCGCCCAGCTGGCTTGTCTGCAGCAAGAGAACTCCATCCTCAGAGATGCCTTGAACCAGGCCACCAGCCAGGCAGAAAGCAAGTAGGTGTCTGTTCCTACCCTAACCCCTAACCTTGAACCAGGCCACCAGCCAGGCAGAAAGCAAGTAGGTGTCTGTTCCTACCCTAACCCCTAACCTTGAACCAGGCCACCAGCCAGGCAGAAAGCAAGTAGGTGTCTGTTCCTACCCTAACCCCTAACCTTGAACCAGGTCACCAGTCAGGCAGAGAGCAAGTAGGTGTCTGTTCCTACCCTAACCCCTAACCAGGTCACCAGTCAGGCAGAGAGCAAGTAGGTGTCTGTTCCTATCCTAACCCCTAACCTTGAACCAGGCCACCAGCCAGGCAGAAAGCAAGTAGGTGTCTGTTCCTACCCTAACCCCTAACCTTGAACCAGGTCACCAGTCAGGCAGAGAGCAAGTAGGTGTCTGTTCCTATCCTAACCCCTAACCTTGAACCAGGCCACCAGCCAGGCAGAGAGCAAGTAGGTAGCTCCCTCTGTCCCCGGCCCCTGTCCCAAAACATTTTAGTATTTGCCACTACGAAGAATATGTTTGAGAGAGGGACAGAATCAGGTGTTTTGAGAGTGCAGATGTAAATGCGTATGGAACACAGTATGTTAGGATTACTAGGTCTAGGATTAGTGTGTCTGACAGAGAGACTGTCTACTGTGAAGCCTGCTCTGAGGTACACTACAAAGTATGTGGACACCCCTTCAATTTAGTGGATTCTGCTATTTCAGCCACACCCGTTGCTGACGGGTGTATAAAATCGAGCACACAGTCATGCAATCTCCATAGACAAACATTGGCAGTAGAATGGCCTTACTGAAGAGCTCAGTGACTTTCAACGGGGCACTGTCATAGGATGCCACCATTCCAACAAGTCAGTTCGTCAAATTTCTGTCCTGCTAGAGCTGCCCCAGTCAACTGTAAGTGCTGTTATTGTGAAGTGGAAATGTCTAGGAGCAACAACGGCTCAGCCGTGAAGTGGTAGGCCACAAGCTCACAGAACGGGACCGCCGAGTGCTGAAGCGCGTAGCACGTAAAAATCGTCTGTCCTCGGTTGCAACACTCACTACCAAGTTCCAAACTGCCTCTGGAAGCAATGTCAGCACAAGAACTGTTCATCGGGAGCTTCATTAAATGGGTTTCCATGGCCGAGCAGCCGCACACAAGCCTAAGATCACCATGCATAATGCCAAGCGTTGGCTGGAGTGGTGTAAAGCTCGCCGCCATTGGACTCTGGAGCAGTGGAAACACGTTCTCTGGAGTGATGAATCACGCTTCAACATCTGGCAGTCCGACGGATGAATCTGGGTTTGGCAGATGCCAGGAGAACGCTACCTGCCCGAGTGCATAGTGCCAACTAAAGTTTGGTGGAGGAGAATAATGGTCTGGGGCTGTTTTTCATGGTTCAGGCTAGGCCCCTTAGTTCCAGTGAAGGGAAATCTTAACGCTACAGCATACAATTACATTCTAGACGATTCTGTGCTTCTAACTTTGTGGCAACAGTTTGGGGAAGGCCCTTTCCTGTTTCACCATGACAATGCCCCCGTTCAAAAAGCGAGGTCCATACAGAAATGGTTTATCAAGATCGGTGTGGAAGAACTTGACTGGCCTGCACAGAGCCCTGACCTCAACCCCATTGAACACCTTTGGGATGAATTGGAACGCTGACTGCGAGCCAGGCCTAATCGCCCAACATCAGTGGCCGACCTCACTAATCCTCTTGTGGCTGAATGGAAGCAAGTCCCAGCTGCAATGTTCCAACGTCTAGTGGAAAGCCTTCCCAGAAGAGTGGAGGCTGTTATAGCAGCAAAGGGGGGACCAACTCCATATTAATGCCCATGATTTTGTAATGAGATGTTCGACGAGCAATGAGATGTTCGACGAGCAGGTGTCCACATACTTTTAGCCATGTAGTGTATTTTCCTGACTGACCTGGCCTCCCTCTCTCTTCTCTCTTCAGACAGAATGCAGAGCTGGCCAAGCTGAGACAGGACTGTGCCAGACTGACCAAGGAGCTGGGGGAGAAGAGTGAGAGCCTCCAGGCTGATGAGAACGTCAAGAGAGGGCTGGAGACTAAGGTGTCTTCTGTAGAGAAACAACTTTCTCTGCTACAGGTAGGACTGACACACACACAGACACGGACACACACGGACGGACACGGACACACATGGACGGACACGGACACACATGGACATGGACACACACGGACACAGACACAGACGGACATGGACGGACACAGACACACACACACGTTCAGACTAATGACAACATCTGGAGAGGGCTGGAGGCTAAGGTCTCCGACTAAGAACTGGCCCTGCTGCAGGTCAGTAGAATCAAGGGGGGAGAAGTCATTAGCCCCCCAAAACATCACAACAACCCCCCTAAAAAACAGATTTGGCTTTCTAATACAATGTCTTAACCTACAGTGAGGGGAAAAAAGTATTTGATCCCCTGCTGAATTTGTCCGTTTGCCCACTGACAAAGACAAGATCAGTCTATAATTTTAATGGTAGGTTTATTTGAACAGTGAGAGACAGAATAACAACAACAAAAATCCAGAAAAACGAATGTCAAAAATGTTATAAATTGATTTGCATTTTAATGAGGGAAATAAGTATTTGACCCCTCTGCAAAACATGACTTAGTACTTGGTGGCAAAACCCTTGTTGGCAATCACAGAGGTCAGACGTTTCTTGTAGTTGGCCACCAGGTTTGCACACATCTCAGGAGGGATTTTGTCCCACTCCTCTTTGCAGATCTTCTCCAAGTCATTAAGGTTTCGAGCCTGACGTTTGGCAACACGAACCTTCAGCTCCCTCCACAGATTGTGCTTCTTCTTGAGCCACTCCTTTGTTGCCTTGGCCGTGTGTTTTGGGTCATTGTCATGCTGGAATACCCATCCACGACCCATTTTCAATGCCCTGGCTGAGGGAAGGAGGTTCTCACCCAAGATTTGACGGTACATGGCCCCGTCCATCGTCCCTTTGATGCAGTGAAGTTGTCCTGTCCTCTTAGCAGAAAAACACCCCCAAAGCATAATGTTTCCACCTCCATGTTTGACGGTGGGGATTGTGTTCTTGGGGTCATAGGCAGCAGTTCTCCTCCTCCAAACACGGCGAGTTGAGTTGATGCCAAAGAGCTCGATTTTGGTCTCATCTGACCACAACACTTTCACCCAGTTCTCCTCTGGATCATTCAGATGGTCATTGGAAAACTTCAGACGGGCCTGTATATGTGCTTTCTTGAGCAGGGGGACCTTGCGGGCGCTGCAGGATTTCAGTCCTTCACGGCGTAGTGTGTTACCAATTGTTTTCTTGGTGACTATGGTCCCAGCTGCCTTGAGATCATTGACAAGATCCTCCTGTGTAGTTCTGGGCTGATTCTTCACCGTTCTCATGATCATTGCAACTCCACGAGGTGAGATCTTGCATGGAGCCCCAGGCAGAGGGAGATTGACAGTCCTTTTGTTTCTTCCATTTGCGAATAATCGCACCAACTGTTGTCATCTTCTCACCAAGCTGCTTGGCGATGGTCTTGTAGCCCATTCCAGCCTTGTGTAGGTCTACAATCTTGTCCCTGACATCCTTGGAGAGCTCTTTGGTCTTGGCCATGGTGGAGAGTTTGGAATCTGATTGATTGATTGCTTCTGTGGACAGGTGTCTTTTATACAGGTAACAAGATGAGATTAGGAGCACTCCCTTTAAGATTGTGCTCCTAATCTCAGCTCGTTACCTGTCTAAAAGACACCTGGGAGCCAGAAATCTTTCTGATTGAGAGGGGGTCAAATACTTATTTCCCTTATTAAAATGCAAATCAATTTATAACATTTTTGACATACGTTCTTCTGGATTTTTTTGTTATTCTGTCTCTCACTGTTCAAATAAACCTACCATTAAAATTATAGACTGATCATTTCTTTGTCAGTGGGCAAACTTACAAAATCAGCAGGGGATCAAATACTTTTTTCCCTCACTGTATATGTTTTTATTTATCAGGGATCTTGACAACATAAGTATTGCACCAGATTTAGCTAGTCTGTTGTGTGATCTAGGAAAATGAGGAATTCCAATACAGTGGGGGAAAAAAGTATTTAGTCAGCCACCAATTGTGCAAGTTCTCCCACTTAAAAAGATGAGAGAGGCCTGTAATTTTCATCATAGGTACACGTCAACTATGACAGACAAAATGAGAAAAAAATCCAGAAAATCACATTGTAGGATTTTTAATGAATTTATTTGCAAATTATGGTGGAAAATAAGTATTTGGTCAATAACAAAAGTTTCTCAATACTTTGTTATATACCCTTTGTTGGCAATGACACAGGTCAAACGTTTTCTGTAAGTCTTCACAAGGTTTTCACACACTGTTGCTGGTATTTTGGCCCATTCCTCCATGCAGATCTCCTCTAGAGCAGTGATGTTTTGGGGCTGTCGCTGGGCAAAACTGACTTTCAACTCCCTCCAAAGATTTTCTATGGGGTTGAGATCTGGAGACTGGCTAGGCCACTCCAGGACCTTGAAATGCTTCTTACGAAGCCACTCCTTCGTTGCCCGGGCGGTGTATTTGGGATCATTGTCATGCTGAAAGACCCAGCCACGTTTCATCTTCAATGCCCTTGCTGATGGAAGGAGGTTTTCACTCAAAATCTCACGATACATGGCCCCATTCATTCTTTCCTTTACACGGATCAGTCGTCCTGGTCCCTTTGCAGAAAAACAGCCCCAAAGCATGATGTTTCCACCCCCATGCTTCACAGTAGGTATGGTGTTCTTTGGATGCAACTCAGCATTCTTTGTCCTCCAAACACGAAGAGTTGAGTTTTTACCAAAAAGTTATATTTTGGTTTCATCTGACCATATGACATTCTCCCAATCTTCTTCTGGATCATCCAAATGCACTCTAGCAAACTTCAGACGGGCCTGGACATGTACTGGCTTAAGCAGGGGGACACGTCTTGCACTGCAGGATTTGAGTCCCTGGCGGCGTAGTGTGTTACTGATGGTAGGCTTTGTTACTTTGGTCCCAGCTCTCTGCAGGTCATTCACTAGGTCCCCCCGTGTGGTTCTGGGATTTTTGCTCACCGTTCTTGTGATCATTTTGACCCCACGGGGTGAGATCTTGCGTGGAGCCCCAGATCGAGGGAGATTATCAGTGGTCTTGTATGTCTTCCATTTCCTAATAATTGCTCCCACAGTTGATTTCTTCAAACCAAGCTGCTTACCTATTGCAGATTCAGTCTTCCCAGCCTGGTGCAGGTCTACAATTTTGTTTCTGGTGTCCTTTGACAGCTCTTTGGTCTTGGCCATAGTGGAGTTTGGAGTGTGAGTGTTTGAGGTTGTGGACAGGTGTCTTTTATACTGATAACAAGTTCAAACAGGTGCCATTAATACAGGTAACGAGGGGAGGACAGAGGAGCCTCTTAAAGAAGAAGTTACAGGTCTGTGAGAGCCAGAAATCTTGCTATGTTTGTAGGTGACCAAATACTTATTTTCCACCATAATTTGCAAATAAATTCATAAAAAATCCTACAATGTGATTTACTGGATTTATTTTCCTCAATTTGTCTGTCATAGTTGACGTGTACCTATGATGAAAATTACAGGCCTCTCTCATCTTTTTAAGTGGGAGAACTTGCACAATTGGTGGCTGACTAAATACTTTTTCCCCCCACTGTATATCCAAGGATATGTTGAACTGCAAGGCTGCACCCTAGTTCTAGAGCTGCCAGTTTGCTGTGAGCCTTCGCTTTACCCACCGGCTGGTCCCCCACCCCTTTAAAACCTTACCCACCGGCTGGTCCCCCACCCCTTTAAAACCTTACCCACCGGCTGGTCCCCCACCCCTTTAAAACCGTACCCACCGGCTGGTCCCCCATTCCTCTAAAACCTTATTCACCAGCTGGAACCCCACTCCTCTAAAACATTTTACATTTTAGTCATTTAGCAGACGCTCTTATCCAGAGTGACTTACAGGAGCAATTAGGGTTAAGTGCCTTGCTCAAGGGCACATCGACAGATTTTTCACCTAGTCGGCTCGGGGATTAGAACCAGCGACCTTTCGGTTACTGGCACAATGCTCTTAACAACTAAAACCTTACCCACCGGCTGGTCCCCCACACCTCTAAAGCCTTATCCACCGGCTGGCCTCGCCTTACCCACCAACTGGTCCCCCACCCCTCTAATGCGCCTGTGATGCGGCTGGATCTCTGATGGCCTTGAAATCACAGAGCGCTGTGTTGGACTGGAATGCAGCCACACAATAATGGGGCTGACTGATGAGCTGGCTCACGGGCTGGCTGGCTGGCAGACTAATTGGCAGATTGGCTGGCTGACTGGCTGGTTTGCTGGCTGGCTGGCTGGCTGGCTGGCTGGCTGGCTGGCTGGCTGGCTGGCTGGCTGGCTGACACCAGATGGAATGTGTGCTACGTGCCAAAGCAAAGTTTTAAAACACTACTACACACCAGATGTGTTTAGTATATTTGGTAAATCCTAATGGAAGGGAGAGTGTGTGTGTGTTTTGTGTGTATTATGGGATGTATGGAGTGAGTCAGTGTTTTACTTCTTGACAGTCACGAGTTCATGTTTAATCATTTTATTATCGTGTCCTCCTGGACCAGTCCTGAGGTTTATCAACAGAACGTTACGTAATACAAGGGCCTGTTAGTGAACATACACATTCCAGGCTCTTTACGCTATGTCACTATCCTTAGCCCTCCAGATTCTAGTCTCCCTCTTTCTTTTGCTCTCTCTTTTACTCACTCACTCACACACACACACACACACACACACACACACACACACACACACACACACACACACACACACACACCAGTTTTATATGTATTACTAACTCTGTAGCTGGATAATAATGTAGTAGATATGTTGTGTAGTTAGCCTCTGCTGCCCTCTGATGGTGAGTAACATACACTGCATCCCCACCCTTCATCCCCAGGCCAGACCCTGGGAATAATGTCACACTGTTATAATCATTGAAATACAATCTCATTCTAGTTGTGGTCATACATGACCCTGAGCGTGCTGTCACAATGCTTACTGTAGTATTACAGAATATTAAAATCTGTCTAACTCTACCTCAGGCCAGCCATGTAGAGACTGAGCAGGCACTGCAGAGGAGGCTGGAGGAGGTCAGTGAGGAGTTGAGGAGTTCACAGAGCACCCTGGAGAAAGCCCAGCAGGACGCTGCCACCCTCACAGGTAAGACATTATTCACGTTTCGGCCTTGTTTGTTCAAATTCCAGTGGACAAACTTGGTATGAAGTGAAAATGCTCCATTGAAGTCAAAAGTAAAACTTTCCTCAAATTCAACCTTTCAATTTAACCCTCGGATGTTTAATAAACCGACCAAAAGAAGAAATCACGTTATTTGACTGCCAACCTTAACCAATGTTACTTTATTCTTCTAAATTGCAGTGAATAAGGTCTATTGATTGAACAGCGTTAATAGTTTGTAGTGAGTGTTGTCTGCCATCCCTCCAGACCTCCAGGTCCATCTAGGCAGTGTAGAGGCTGGTCTGAAGGAGCGTAGTGCCCAGGTGGAGGCCCTCACAGCCCAGCTAGAGCAGACCGAGCTGGAGAAGGGACAATTGGAGGATCAGGTAGACTCCATCAATGTACTGCTGGAGGCCAGCCACAACAGAGACGAGGACACGGAGGTGAGTTATCAGATTATATCAGATTATATTATGTTAGGGTAGCACTTGCACACTCTGCGTGAGCCAGTGCTTACTAGTGCCAGAGAGGTTGAAAACAGAGAGACTCAAACCGCCATTACTTTCTGTAAACACCCATGATGAAGATTCAGAGCACTGTCAATGGCAAATTTGTTCACAAAGTATTTGCAGGAGGTAATCACAAATTGAGTGTCTGTTTCAAACCTCTCTGGTGCTAGTGAGCATTGGCTTGTCCGGAGATAACCATGCTATATAACCATGCTATCGATGGTTCTTTTGGGTCCACTTCTGAATTCATGTGTATTTATGTTTTACAGGATAACTCCACTGAGTTGGAACAGCTAAAGAGCAGGTATGTTTTTGATCATCTGTCCCTCATAATTCTCTTTATAGATGTGGAGTTGGTCTTTTCTCAACAACACCAATCATTTATCTTCCAGTCTTCAGGACAGAGAGAGTCAGTTGGCGTCACTCCAACAGGAGCTGAAGCAGCTCCAAGAAATGAAACAGGAGGCTACTGTAAGTCCTGTAAGTATCTCAACTCTGTCAGAAGTCGCTGTTCTGTTTTCATTGTGCTAGCTAATTGGATGGCCATTAACTTTGGCTAACTGAATCAGTTATTTCCTTTATTGATTCCCTAACTGAATCAGTTATTTCTAAAATAAATCCTAACTGAATCAGTTATTTCCTTTATTGATTCCCTAACTGAATCAGTTATTTCTCTATTGATTAAAGAACTGAATCAGTTATTTCTCTATTGATTTCCTAACTGAATCAGTTATTTCCTTTATTGATTCCCTAACTGAATCAGTTATTTCTCTATTGATTTCAGAACTGAATCAGTTATTTCTCTATTGATTTCCTAACTGAATCAGTTATTTCTCTATTGATTTCCTAACTGAATCAGTTATTTCCTTTATTGATTTCCTAACTGAATCAGTTATTTCCTTTATTCATTTCATAACTGAACCAGTTATTTCTAACTGGTTTCCTAGGTGATTCAAATATGTATATTTACTGTATGTATTTGGACATTTCAAGGCAGAATTGTATACATTGGGAAGATACATTTTGTTTCCAAAGTTTTTTTTTTGAGAGAACCATAATGTTGTCTTTTTATCTTTCTAATGATCTTCTTACTCTGTCCCGGCAGGCGATCACTACAGCCGAGACAGAGCGGGAACCTAACAGGTATGTCTGGAGCAAGTCCACTGCAATTTCAGTTTAAGTCACCCATTTGAAGCTGAAACCATGTCACCAACTTTGTTTAATTCTGCTATTATGTACCTGAACATCCTCGTATGCATCTCTCTTTATTTCAGTCAGGAAGCAAGCCTGATGGCATCACTTCAGGAGGAACTGAAGCAACTCAAAGAAGAGATGGAGCAACTTAAAAACTCTCCCGTAAGTTTCTTTGAGCTAAAAGCGGTACATTTCTATATTTACACAACAGCTTTTCCATTATGAATATTGACATGCGTTCCCTTTTTTGTCAGGCTGATATCTCGGAACAGCTACTCAACAGGTGAGTTATGGTTTTATTGATACCTTGTTCCAGAAGAATATACTTACTAGAAGGGACAGAACATTGTCTTGAATGGGACTGTTAGTACAAGTAATTATAGTTCTATGCCTTGTGCTCACTTGGATCCCAAAAAATAATAATTTTCAAAACAACTTTATTACAACACACCATTGTCTAATGCTGGTTAACCATGTGGTCCTTCATTCCAGTCTGAAGGAGAGAGCGAGCCAGGAAGCATCAACAGAAGAGGAAGTGAAGCAACTCAAAGAAACATCTGAGCAGGCCCAGAGCAGCACTGCTGTAAGTGTGCCATTCCTCTCCTACAGTTACCTTAGCCTGGTCCCAGGCCCATTTGTGCTGTTTTGCCAATCTTCTATGGTCGTTTGGCGTGACAATGACTATAGGAGTTGGCAAGACCGCACAAACAGATCTGGGACCAGGCTATAGTTTCCCTGCTTGTGTATCAACATGATCTGTACTACAGTAGAATATAGTTATCTGAATTCATGCTTTATGTTTTAGCAGTCCGACAACACAGCAGAACTGGCGGCGCTACAAACCAGGTACAAAGCCATATTCATCACCAAACCCATGGATTTTAACTTGGTTTTTCCCTTGTGGAATATCAAATCAAACTGTATTTAAAGTTTGTTTTAGAATCGCAACACATTTTACAGTAAAACAATATAAATTGTGATTAAAAGCTAAATGGAATATTTGATTTTTGGCTCTTCTGTATAAAAAGGATACTAAAGTAAACTGTGTTTCTGGTTGTTTATTAGTCTGGCAGAGAGGGAAGCTATGATGGCATCACTACAGGAGGAGCTAAGGGAAGCCAGGGCCCAATCGCAGAAGGTACAGGAGACCTTCGCTCAGGTCCAGCAGAGCCAGGAGTCAGAGCCGAGCACAGAGCTGCCGGTAGGACATGATGCACAAATCTGACTGAGCCATGATAATACACTTGATTGGTTTGGTCTGGTCTGACAGAAGTCATGGGGCCCGTTTTTGAAACGTTTAGATAGAAATAGGCTTTGTCGAACAAACATGCCTCTCTGACATGTAGAATAAGGAATCACGTCTGCTCTATTCATGGTGTTCTATATGCTACCTTCGACAAAGATTGGCTACCGAACATATCCCTGGTTATGTAGTCTATATTATGTACACTGTGTTTAATGCTGCATGTACATCATTTGTCTGTTTTTACCTGTAAGCCAGAGCGCCACAGACAAATATCACATTTGTAGGAAATGTAATGGACATTAATGTTTTCTCATTGGTTCTGACTGACTGTCTGTGGTGTTTTGATTCCAGGAGCTGTTGGAGAAACTGAAGGAGGCAGAGGACAGCCACGTGACACTGCAGGCAGAGTGTGACCAGTACAGAACGGTCTTGGCTGAAACAGTGAGTACCTACACCAATACAACACGCTCAGTTGGTTTGTACATCGGCATCTCTAGATCCCTCAAATTCAAATCTGGATCTCGAAGCCAGTTCCACTGCTTTTTCATTATTCCCTCTAATCAGGGACTGATTTAGACCTGGGACACCAGGTGGGTGCAATTAATTCTGGTAGAACAGAAAACCAGCAGTACTCCGGACCTCGTGTAAAATTTGAATAACCCTGCTCTAGATTCACTTAAAAATGGGCCTCCAGCCTTTTTACAACATAAGACAATTACATGTTTGTAAGTGAGAGACAGGTGTAGATGGGGGATAGATCTACCGAATGGATCACCCAACACCTGCATCTATAAAGATGTGAAATTTGGGCGAGAGAGCGAGTTGTGGTCTACAAGATTTCATCCTGCAAAATTTCTAATAAAGAAATACTCACACAATCATGTATCTGTTCTCTACACAGGAAGGAATGCTGAAGGGCCTTCAGAAGAGTGTTGAGGAGGAGGAGCTGGTGTGGAAATCCAAGATGGCCGACTCTGCGGACCAGTTGAAGAAGGTGAAGAAGCAGTGTTTTCTCTCCTCTCCTCCTCCCTCCCCTCCCCCCACTGTAATATTGTGCACTCTGTAGTGCTGTCTGTGGCCCTGCAGTGTTTCCCCTTGGATTTTTTTCAGCAGAGGTAGGGGGGGGGGGATTAGTGGGCATGGCCAATGGCGCAGTCTTCGACCCAACATTTTAAAGGCCCTCCTCTTGGCCGCAGAGACAACATGTTGCTGTTTTAAAGCGAATTTCCTGCAATTCTACACATTTTGCCATGGCTTATGCTGTGTTCTTATGCTATCTTAGATTCTCTCCGTCTAGTTTTTATTGGTGAATGTTAATTATCAAAGATGATCTTATAAAAAAATATATAGCTCCATTATCTTCTCTACATACATTATAGCTGGTTTTAGTCGTTTAAGTTTACACTGAAAACATTTACCATCCTGAAAATTACCACAAATATATTTTCAAAAGCGGCCCACCGCTGCTCAATGAATATAGGGGAAACACTGCCATGTTCTAAACCAAACCCTCTCTATTCACACTAGGCCCTGGAACAAGTGCACACTCTGAAGGAGACTGTAGAGAGCTTGAAGGTAGAGAACCAAAGCATAGAACAGGTATAATAAATATATCCACATTTATAAAATCATTTGTTCATTCATTTCCACCTGAATGGGGTTATCATAATGTCATAATATCAGGCTGATTTCAACTACGGTCCAGTAGGTGTGTAGTGCTGGACTGGTACAGTCTGTACTGAATTATACTTTAGTAATGGACTCCTTACCCTCTTCCTCTCCCTGCAGCTGAAGGAGCAGGTGATGCTGTTGGAAGCCCAGTTGGAGAAACAGTCTGAGACTGCCCCGACAGAGGAGGAAATGACACCGGTACACATCTACATCCATACAGTACACCATAGGTACACTAGCTATACACATCAGCATTCATGTAGTAGAAACAGTCAGAGACCGTCCAGAGACAGGGGATAGATGACACTGGTACACCGACTAGTCAAGACATCATCATCCCATACCACCAGCTGTTTTGGGCTCTTGTCTCACTGAATCACATGGCTGACCAAATAATCTAGTACATTGCTGAGACTCTTATTTGGGCAATTCAGACTGCTTATTGAGGAGCTATTTGCTGAAGAATGATTGTTTTGTATTCCTGGTTTGCATTTCTTAATTGTATTTGATGTGTGTATCTTTGTAATTACAGTGCTCATTTGCAAAAGAGACCTTGGTCTCTATGACTCCCTGTCAAAATAAAGTTTAAGTAAAATGGTTGTGGTCTGTCTTCTCCAGTTGAAGCAGCTACTGTCAGAGTCTCAGAGTCAGCTGGAGTCAGCCCAGATGGAGGCCCAGATTCACAGGGAAGAGCTGCCTACGGTAGGAGAGAGAGAAGTCTCCACAAGAATAGTAAACAAACAAACATTTGACCACCTGGGGACATTTTGTTAGTCCCCACAAGGAAAAAGGCTATTTCTAGGGGGTTTAAGGTTAGAATTAGTGTTAGGGTTAGGGGTTAAAGGTTAGGGTTAAGGTTATGTTTTGGGGTTAGGTTTAGGGATTAGGGAAAATATGACTTTGAATGGGAATCAATCCCCACAAGGTTAGTTAAACAAGCCTGTGTGTGTGCGCGCCCCTGTCTCCTGACAGGAACCGCAGTGTGCTTGCTGTCTGTTGAGGTCTACTTGGTGTGTATCACAATTCTCTCTCTCCCTCCCCTCTTGTCCCTAACCCTTGGAGCTTCCTTTTCCAGGTCAGAGGTCAGCTGAGCAAGGCGACGGAGTGCGCTCAGAGCCAGGAGGCAGTCTCTGAGGCCAGGACACAGAATGGCCAATCAAAGCCTGAGGTCAGGGTGCACCGGAGGTTATAGGTCATGGGGCACCCTTCACTGCCTGTCTGCTCTACTGGGGGGTACTGGACTTTCTGGAAACTGGTCACTGGACAGCAATGGTTACCACCACCAGGGAATAGAGAGATATACAAATACTATTGGCTGATGTCATGACCATGGACAACAGCCAGAGGTTTTAAAATGTTCTGGTAATGGCAGCCATCTTGGTATGTCATAAATAGGGACTAACTCATAAATAAAATATCAGTATCTCTCCTGCTGTTAAACCATGTCTCTGTGGAGCTAGGATCCATTTGATCGCAGTAGAAAAGTCCCCTGTTATTTTACGGTCACATTTTGATTGATAAAACCATTACAACAATAAAAAAACCATAAGGGCATGTAATAATAATAATATAATAATATGCCATTTAGCAGACACTTTTATCCAAAGCAACTTACAGTCATGTGTGCATACATTTTTACGTATGGGTGGTCACGGGGATGGAACCCACTACCCTGGCGTTACAAGCGCCATGCTCTACCAATTGAGCAACATAGCCTGTGCTTCAGACGTGGGTAGTCACTAGCTCCAGAATGTTGCTTCCTCTGAGGCCAGACAGTGTTTGTCTAGTCTGTCCAGTCCTCTCCATACACAGCAGCTGCTCACCATGGTGTGTGTTTAACCAGCCAGTGTGTGTTGACTACCAGCTGCAGCTAACTAACCACAGCTTCTATCACGCTCATCTTAGCATGATCACTCACTCCTTGTGTTCAGTTTTCCACTGATTTTAGATTTTTCACTGAAGAGACACACTGTTTTGGACATGACACTGCTTCTTGCCTGGTGTGGAGTGAAGTGGGCACTAACATGACACAGGGTGGTGTGGGTGGGTGTGTGTGCGCAAGTCAAAACATGTTTTTAAAGTGCTTTTACATGCTTTTATCTATGTTTGTCTGTAGCAAGGAGGAACACAACATCTCTAGTATCCGGACAGATCTTAATCGTGTGTCTGTGTCTGTGTGTGTGTGTGTGTGTGTGTGTGTGTGTGTGTGTGTGTGTGATGCACCATATACTTATACTATATTTTGTGCATCTCAAGGTCCAGTCCCAGTTCAATCAGACCACCGAGGAGTTTGAGCAGGTACTAAACTCTCACACCCAATACTACAAACCAATCGGTAGCTCTTGCTAGCAAGTTTGACATTGGCTAACAACAAAACTGCTTAGTTAGACAGCGATTTGTCGGATCGACTGTTTCTCTGATTGACTGTTTTATCTCGATCTACCCCCCCCCCCCCCAGGCTCAGAAGACGGTTGTAGAACTCCAGGCTCAGCTGGACCTGCTGAAAGAGACAGGAGACTCCCAACAGGCCGACACAGAGGACATAGCCCAGCTAAAGGTACCCGCATACCCATACCACTAAACATGACCCTTGGCTGCGGTCATCAGGACACAATGTTCTGGAACTTTCAGATACAAATCTGTTATGTAGAACAAACATGCCTCTCTGACATGTAGAATAAAATAAAAATAAATGTATATTCATGACATTTCTAACCGTAACACTGCAACGTTGGACAACGTCTGCCTACTAAATGTGGACCATCGGCAGTATTCATGAAGCATCTCGGAGTAGGAGTGCTGATCTAGGATCTCTAAATCTCTATGGGGTGAGATTTATAGAGGACTCTAGTGCCCGAAAGCCTGTATTAGCATGGGCGCCGCCATTGAGGACTTTTGCCATATTTAAGTAGTCAACTGGGTGGGACTTCCTATGGGGTAAGGAAGGATCACATGATTCCATCCAGGTCATCAGGAGGGATCAGCCAATTAATTATACTCTCGAGCTAACATTCCATAACTGTAGGTGGCAATAAATCACCAACCTTGGCTTTTATACCTGTTCAAACAACACACTCCAGGTGGCAGTATGCACCCTTAAAGTTTGTTTACCAACTCATAGAAGTAGTAGAAGAAGAACATTTTACTACTTCAAAATGGAGATGGCATGAATGGCGCTGCCCGTGCGCTCAGACGCCATAATGGGATATACAGTAGCCTATACAATGATGCGATCTTTATACATCTCTATGGGTCACCCCTGTCCATTCACTATAGTCTAAAAGGCTAAACTGATCCTAGATCAGTACTCCTACTTAGATACGCTTTATGAATACAGGCCCTGGTCAGTGCTGAAGCCAACGTGGTTGTGTGAGGCCCGAAGGCTCAGTCTGTCCGCCTGCTTCCTCAACAGGAGCGCCTGCAAAAGGAGAGAGAACTAATCAAAGACCTTGGCCAAGCAGCCACCAAACTCCAGCAGCTCTTAAAGTCCACTCAGGAGCAGCTCGCCAAAGAGAGGAACAAACACTGCACACTACAGGACCACTCTGAGACCAAGGTGGCTATTACGATCTATTACTAATTTATTATGCCATGGTTGTGGGTTCAATTCCCGCAGGGATCACATACACAAACAAAAAATGTATGCACTCACAGTACTGACAGTCACTTTGGATATCTGCGTCTGCTCAGTGGAATACCGGGTATATGAATATATTATTATTGTATACTTAGCCTGAATGATTACAGTAATACTGTTTCAAACTGCTGCATGGGTGTGGTTATGTAATTCATGTTTTATATTTTTTTAGTAATGTCCATCAATGATTGATTTATTGATTGATTAATGTATTCATTGATTGGGTGTGGTTGTAAATTTGTATTTTTGTGTCTGACTTTCAGAGTATGTCGCTGAAGGAAGGAACATCTGTTTAAGAGACTGAAGACAAGACACTAAAACATGCCAAAAATGCCTTAATATGATTACTATTACCATAGTTATGCATTCCAAAACCATTCTTTCTTTGTACTGTAGTAGTTGATTCCTGCAACTCCTGTAAGAATCAAAGGACCAGTTTCACGGACATAGATGGATTCTCAATGGAGAATCTCCATTTAGAATAACTTTTTAGTCCAGGACTAGGATTAATCTGTGTCTGTGAAACAGGCCCAAAATGTTTAGCTATCATTATGAACATTTCATTGTATGATCTATGATGAGGAAAAAAATACTATGCTGCAAACAAAACCTCCATTCCATCAACGATTCTGGCTGTGTCAGAAGTTATACCTAATACTAGCTCTGGTCCAGGGCATTACTGCACGTTCCTCCACTATAACCTGTATCGATATCGATCACACTAACGCCCTGGACCAGAGCTAACCTATTTCCTACTCTGCCTTATATTCACAATGACCCCCCCCCCCCCCCCCCCCCACACAGAGTCCAGTGTTAAAAGGGGAAACAATTGTGCGTTTACGCGTACATCAACCTGTGCAATTACTTTGTGTGTGCACCCTATTATCAATATAGCACACTACTTTTGACCAGAGCCCTACAGGAAACCCAATGGGCCCTGGTCAAAAGAAGTGCACTATATAGGGAATAAATATGGTGCCACTTTGGATTGATGGATAGATTTTATGGTACACACAACGGATGGGAGAAAGCAATACAGTGAGGGCCTCCTTCAGTACTGTGTGTGCAGTAGCTGGCTGCCAACACACATGAATGAATTTGATGAAGAATAAACTACAATGTAGCTATGTGTTATGACTCAGTCCTGCTTGAACCTGTTGTTGTTGATATTTAAACCAAGGATCGCTACATTAGCCAGCTAATTTTGATTAACAGCCACACAATCGGAGGCTATGCTACAGGACTGCTTTGCTAGCACTGACTGGAATATGTTCCGGGACTCCGCCGATAGCATCGACGAGCTAACCACCTCCGTCACAGGCTTCATTCAGGAAATGCATCGCAGACGTTGTCCCCACACTGAAGGTTCACTGCTTCCCCAATCAAAAGCCCTGGATTTACAGAGTTTGGCGCTAAAATAAAGGACAGAGGTACCGCACACAGGGCTATCGCAGACAACCCTGAGGCTACGGCTGAGGACACGAACAAGTACAAGAAGTCCCGCTACGACATCCACAGAGCCATCGAACTATGCTGACATTCTAGGCAGAGTTGCAAAGAAAAAGCCAAATCTCAGACTGGCCAATAAAAATAAATGATTAAGTTGGGCAGTCTGAGATATGGCTTTTTCTTGCCTAGAAGGTCAGCATCCCGGAGTTGCCTCTTCACTGTTGACGTTGAGACTGGTGTTTTGCGGGTACTATTTAATGAAGCTGCCAGTTGAGGACCTGTGAGGCACCTGTTTCTCAAACTAGACACTAATGTATTTGTCCTCTTGCTCAGTTGTGCACAGGGGCCTCCCACTCCTCTTTCTATTCTGGTTAGAGCCAGTTTGCGCTGTTCTGTGAAGGGAGTAGTACACAGCGTTGTACGAGATCTTCAGTTTCTTGGCAATTTCTCGCATGGAATAGCCTTCATTTCTCAGAACAATAATAGACTGACGAGTTTCAGAAGAAAGTTATTTGTTTCTGGTCATTTTGAGCCTGTAATCAAACCCACAATTGCTGATGCTCCAGATACTCAATTAGTCTCAAGAAGGCCAGTTTTATTGCTTTTTTATCAGCACAACAGTTTTCAGCTGTGCTAGCATAATTGCAAAAGGGTTTTCTAATGATCAATTAGACTTTTAAAATGATATACTTGGATTAGCAAAACACAACGTGCCATTGGAACACATGACTGATAGTTGCTGAAATGGGCCTCTGTACGCCAATGTAGATATTCCATAAAAAATCAGCCGTTTCCAGCCACAATAGCCATTTACAACATTAACAATGTCTACACTGTATTTCTGATCAAACTTGCATGGGCTGCGTCCCAATCTGCCAAATCCACCTATGTCTGCCTTCTGCATTTGCAGTGGAAGGTGGCCGAGCTACAGCAGTGTTTGTCAGACGATGAGACAACCCGAAAATCGGTCTTCTCACGAAAACGTCTGTAGTGTCCGAACGGTAATATGACCAGTCTATGGAAAGATGAGACTCTCACAAACACAATAGGGTTCTCCGGTTTGCTCTTCATCCCCCACAAGTGTCACTGAACTATGGAGTTAGTTTTGTGCAAACAAAAATAAGTGTTAAATGTGTCCAAAAAAACTTAAATATTTCCTGAGCTTTCTTATCTCCTAAATATAGGACAGACATTTCCAAACCTTATTCCTTCTTTTATTTTTGTACGGTTTTTTTTGGGCATTTATGAATGTTATTCAATGTGTTTCTATGGGCTATAGTAGTAAAGGCCAAATTTCTATATTTTATCAAATAATAAAATGTTGATACCTAAAGGGGTCCTAAAATTCAAAATAAAATTGTATTGGTCACATGCGCCGAATACAACAGGTGTAGACTTGACCGTGAAATGCTTACTCACAAGCCTATTCCCAACAATGCAGAGTTAAAAAGTAAGACAAATATTTGCTAAATATAAAATGAAATAGTATTACAATAAAATAACAATAACGAGGCTATATAATTTACAAGGGGTATCAGTACAGAGTAAATGTGCAGGGATACGAGGTAATTGAGGTAATACAGTATGTACATGTAGGTAGGGGTAAAAGTGACTAGGCAATCAGGATATATAATAAACAGAGTAGCAGCTGTGTGTGTGTGGTGTCAATATGCGTGTGTGTGTGTTAGTGTCAGTGTAGTATGTGTGAGTGTGCATAGAGCCAGTACAAGAGAGTCAGTGCAAAAAAAGTAATAATAACGGGGGTCAATAGTCCGGGTAGCCATTTGATTCACTGTTCAGTAGTCTTATGGCTTTGGGGTAGAAGCTATTCAGGAGCCGTTTGGTCCCAGACTTGGCACTCCGGTACCACTTGTCGTACGGTAGCAGAGAGAACAGTCTATGACTTAGGTGGCTGGAGTCTTAGACAATTTTTAGGGCCTTCCTCTGACACTGCCTGGTATAGAGGTCCTGGATGGCAGAGAGTTCGGCCCCAGTGATGTACTGGTCCTTAAGCACTACCCGCTGTAGTGCCTTGTGGTCGGATGCCGAGCAGTTGCCATACCATTCGGTGATGCATCCAGTCAAGATGCTCTCAATGGTGCTGCTGTAGAACTTTTTCAGGATCTGAGGGCCCATGCCAAATGTTTTCAGCCTCCGGGGGTGAAGAGACGTTGTCGTGCCCTATTCACGACTATTGGTTTGTTTTGACTATGACAGGTCCTTAGTTATGTGGACACCTAGGAACTTGAAGCTCTTGACCAGCTCCACTACAACCCTGTCAATGTGAATAGGGCGTGTTCAGCTCTCCGTTTCCTCTCCATTATTGTGAAGTCCACAATAAGCTCCTTTGCCTTGCCAACGTTGAGGGAGAGGTTGTTGTCCTGGCACCAAACTGCCAGGTCTCTGACCTCCTCCCTATATGCGGTCTCATCATCGTCAGTGATCAGGCCTACCACTGTTGTCATCTGCAAACTTAATGATGGCGTTGGAGTCGTGCGTGGCCACGCAGTCATGGGTGAACAGGGGATACAGGAGGGGACTAAGCACGCACCCCTGAGGGGACCCCGTGTTGAAGATCAGCGTGGCAGATGTGTTGTTGCCTACCCTCACCACCTGGAGGCAGCCCGTCAGGAAGTCCAGGATCCAGTTGCAGAGGGAGGTGTTCAGTCCCAGGCTCCTTAGCTTGGAGGGCACTATGGTGTTGAACGCTGAGCTGTAGTCAATGAACAGCATTCTCACGTAGGTGTTCATTTTGTCCAGGTGGGAAAGGTCAGTGTGGAGTGCAATAAAGATTGCGTTATCTGTGGATCTGTTGGGGCGGTATGCAAATTGGAGTGGGTCCAGGGTTTCTTGGATGATGGTGTTGATGTGAACCATGACCAGCCTTTCAAAATATTTAATGGCTACAGATGTGAGTGCTATGGGGCGGTAGTCATTTAGACAGGTTACCTTGGTGTTCTTGGGCACAGTGACTATGGTGGTTTGCTTGAAACACATAGGTATTACACTGTTAGTCTACAAATAACCTTTGATTTGAAGTTCCTATGTGTCCAAATCACTAAGGACTTAAAATGGTCCACACGCAAACTGTCTGGCTGCATCACTGCTTGGTATGGCAACTGCACCGCCCTCGATCGCATGGCGCTACAGAGGGTAGTGCGGACAGCCCAGTACATCACTGGGGCTGAGCTCCCTGCCATCCAGGACCTCTATATCTGGCGGTGTGAAAGGAAGGCCCGGAAAATGTTTCAAGACTCCAGCCACCCAAGCCATAGACTGTTCTCTCTGCTTCCGCACGGCAAGTGGTACCGGAGCAACAAGTCTTGACACCAACACCCTCCTGAACAGCGTCTATCCCCAAGCCATAAGACTGCTAAATAGCTAACAAAATGGCTACA